AGAAATAAGGACAAAGAGGTAGAGTTGTGGCAGAAGTTACAAAAGAATATGGACGGTTATAACACCTTAGCTGCATGGTGAAATAGTTGATTAGTTTTTGCCTATATGAAGAAATAATGGTGGCATCTTCCATGTACTCCAGTCTCACTGTTTCCCAAGCCTAGGAAGAAAAAAGTATTGCAGTCTATTTTCTGCAAGTAACTGTACATCTAACAATGAATTTGTAAAAAGGAATTTATTATTTCAATATCACAGTTGCATAATAGAAATGGCATTAGAATGTTTTAAAATTCAGGATGTATGTATGTGATAAACCGATATAAGAATTAAAATTCCTGTACTAATGTTTTAAGAACTCAAAATGCATATTAATTCAAACTTTTAATTAACACATTAAGAAAATCAGAAATGTAAATGTTGAATCATTATGTTGTACACCTGAAACTAATATAATGTTGTATGTCAATTATATATCAGTAAAAAAAAAAAAAATCTCAGAAATGTGGACTGAAAAGTACTAAAAAGAGTAAATTATATTTAAGGGATAAACAATACAGAAGATAAGCATGTGAAATTACAAGTATTTCATACCCCAAAATACAGTACAGTAGGTATATTCAAATGAAAGACTTCATTTGCATTTGTATACAAGTGTCAACCAATCATGGCATTGCAGATAATAAGAATTATAGTAGTCAATATTTCCTCAGCATTTACTACATGTGGTAGACATCATGTCTAGTATCTCACAAGGACCAAGGATCATATCAGTTAATTCTCTTCACAACCCCTGTGTAAGCTGGAAAGGTCTGCCCAAGGCTTAGAGAACTTGCCCAAGGTTACATAGCTATCAAGCTATGAAGAGCTGGGTTGTAAACAGAGGCCCATTCGCTTACAGAGTCCAAGCTCTGAATACATATATAACTATACCAGCAATTCAATGAAACCCAAAATTGAAAAAAAAAAATTTTTCTCTTCCAGAAAGAAACTACTTCTTAAAGTAATAGCCATCTCATAAAGGTACTACATACGATTATTAGCCAATAGACCTACTGGCTTTAGGTTACACATCTAACCTAAAAACATTGCAAAAAATTTTGTAATGTCAAATTTCAGATTTCAATTTTCTCTTGTAACTGAAACATTTAAAATAATATGGTATAATATAGCATAATATAGCATGTAATGACATGTTGACATCTATAAATAAAAAAAAATCATTAAAATAACATTTACCTGTAGATGTTGAAACTTGAGCAAGCCACAACCGTAAGTCAACAAACACATTTGGTGTAAACTGTGAATAAGGGAGGTCAGGACAGCCCAGGACATCTCGGGATAGAGCTCCATCAGTTCTGACTCACTCACGCCATTGTGACTAACATTGACGAGGCAGAGAACCTAGGTAGAAAAACAAATGAACAAAGATCATAGAGCACCTCTATAGGTAACTAACAGCCAATAAAATGTCCATAGCTCTTTTAAGCTTACTGACTTCTTATTCAACTTTATCATTCAAATGATTTAACCAAGAAAAAGATTTTTTAGAATAAAACATACTTCCCAAAAGATACTAAGAATATACATATAGTGAAAATAAATAAAGGAAACCTCATTTAAAATGGAGTCAGGAAGCCGTGAAGGGGAGCTGTTCATGCACATACCACTACTGCAGCCTGCATGACCAGNTCCTTGTAGCTTTCTGACGAATTTTAAAAGATTTTTTCCTAAAATGTTCAGCTTGTTCATATCTTAAAAAAAAAAAAAAAAAGTAAAGTAAGTCAAACAAAAGAAATGTCCAAAGTATCATATTTCAGTGAGATAAAAGCACTCCTTTCCTAGTATAAAGCCTCTTTTGGCTATTAAAAATAGCATTATTTTTAGAAGTGATAGTGATACAGGATTAAAAATCTTTCACAAAACCCTTCATAAGACAAAATCTAATAAAACAAATCTAGTCCTCTAAGGAGTTGACATTTAACAGATTTTTACCTGATTTAACTCAATTTGTTTTAAATTAATTAAAGTCTAAAATTTTCATTGGCTATCTCACCTTCTTCTATAAAGGCTATTTTTTGTCAAATATAAATTTGAAATTCATACAAATGTATGTGAAACAATACTTATAGAAATTAAAAGAAAAAATTCCAATATGTATCACTATGATACAAAAGAAATGATTTCTGATAAAGAAGATGCCATCCAGTGGGTGCCTAATAGATAAGAGACACTTTTTATTATACCAGGGATCAGTGAACTTTTTCTTTAAAGGACTAAATAGTAAATATTTCAGACTTTGTGGGCCATATAGTCTCTGTCACAACTGTTGAATGAACTCTACTGCTAAAGCAAGGAAGCAGCCATAGATGATATGGAAATGAAAAAACGCAGCTGTATTCCAGTAAAACCTTGTTTAAAAAAATAGGGGGCCATCTGGTCTTGGCCTGCAGCAATGGTTTGCAGCCCTGTGTTAGTAATACACTCAATATTACAAAGCTAGTCAGTGAAGGAGCCCGGATTCAAACCTGACTGTATGACTCCAAAGTCCATGCTCTAGCTCCGTGTATTTTCAGATAGAGTTGAATCTTACAGTTCTAATTTTGTGTTTACCCTAAGAAGACCCAGACCAAGTAATGGTATTTGAACATGGTGCATTCAAAAGAATATAAGATAAGGAAAGGTTCACAGCCACAAAAAAAGCCCACCACATGAGTACAGCTAAGAACAGTAACTCCTCATAAAACAAGAGGATCAGTGATCTAAATCTTACTTATTTTGTTTCTGGTACAGAGTTGCAAGGGCCTCAAGTTCACGAGCAATATGCGGATGGTCTGCACCATAGGCATTTTCGGAGATTTCCAAAGCCTGTTTATACAGTTGCTCTGCATTGCCAAACTTCTTCCACTGAACGTACACACTTGCCAGTTGGTGGAGGGACTGAGCTACTCGTGGGTGATCTGGATCTAAAGCGGTTTCTCGAATTTCTAGAGACCTCTGCAAAGGCACCACTGCCTGGGGAGAAAAAGATGAAAGGCCCTTTAAAGTGAGCGAAAGGTTGTTAAGATCTACCATCTGATCAGCCGCAGCAAATGAAAGCTGCATGAACTCCGGGGAAAGAGAGCAGAATAAACAAGAAAAACCCACACTGGCTCCGACTCCCTGCTGAGGTTACCTGACTGAGCAGGCCTAGGTCCTTGAGGAATCGTCCCAGGGTTTCATAGAGGTCTGCTAAGCACATCATGCTCTCCTCGCCCTCGCAGTTTTTCTCATACTGCTTCAGCGAATCAAAGTATTCTGCTGCCATTGCACTTTTGTCTTTGCCAACAAACTGCCAGTAGCTCAGCAACTCAGCGAAGTGTCCTCTGTCCCAACAAATAACAGTAGTCATTGAAAAACAAACTTTAAAACCCACTATCGAGTGGAAGTGCCAGATTTCCGATCAGAACTCATATGGACAATGTATTAGTAGGCAAGGATAGTGTAGCGAGGTAAGACTATACACTTGGACCGTCATATGAGTCCAGAGCTTCCTGGCTATGCAATAACCGTAAGCTGGTTGTCTGACCTCTTACCCGTCAACATCCTCATCTGCAAAATGGAGACAATGACACTACTTGCCACAGGGGTTACTATCAGGAGATTAGGGCACAGCAGGTGCTCCATAGTGTTGGCCGTTACTATTAATATTATTATAGCTACTCATCAATGGGCATCTATCAGAATCATTTTTAGACACCTCATGATATGCAGTCAACTGCTGAGTTCACCCAACACACTATTTTACATGATGGGAATTAGAAAACAAGAAACGAATGAAACATAGGCCAACTGTCCTAGAATATCTCCTTTGCATTTGCATCAAACAATTGAAAAAGAAAAGTAAGCTTATTCATCTGTAGATGACATTAATTAGGATGGGAGAGCCGGTAAACTAAAGAATGAATCTGGTTTCAAAGGAATCATGAAAAATTGGAATGGAGAGCAGACATAAATTACGAGGCGCAACAAAGAAATTTGAGAGAGTTCACTCAGGAGCAAAAAACAAATTACACAGCTCTTATGAGAAATGTCTAAATTTCTAAGTGAGACAGAAAAACCCCATCACGAGGCTTAGTAGGTCAGAAGCTTGGCTCATAAGCAGGTGTGGTTCTGACACTGGCAAATTCAAACATACCAGAAAAGACAAACAATATATTTATGAAAAAGGTTAATCCTTTCTTTAAACTCAACACCAGTCAGATTCTCTGTAGAGCCCAGTCTGGTTTGAAGGCAACANCAAACTATTTTGCTAGCAATTATGATTTAATTGGTATACTAGAAAACATATGTAAACATGCCAAGGATTACTTACCATTTTCTTATATAAGATTGCAAGATGCTTCACTGTGTAAGCCAACGAAGGGTGATCAGGAGCTAACGCTCGTCTCCGAATGTCTAAAGCTCGTTCATAAAGTTCTTCTGCTTTATCATACTGCTTCTTTTCATTGCATAGAGCCGCCAGGTTATTCAAAGACTGGGCACAGTCAGGATGATCGGGTCCTAGAACCCGCTCCCTCATTTCTAAGGAACGCTTCAGGAACTGGTCGGCTGTTCTATGAACAAAAGCCCAAAATGTTTGAAACAGTTTATTCTCTAGGAGTCAGAATCTCTAGCACTAGTTAGGTGGAGAACTGAGGCATTTTTATTCTTAAATCTAAGATGGTTAAAATGAAGGATTCAGCTCAAAATTCTTTCTCGTCCTCTTTCCCCCCTTCTCTTCCTGCTCTTTTTCAAAAATTAAATTAAAAATGCTTTCCTGATAGTGTGAGGGCCTAAAATATCTGCATGGTTGCCTCAATTCTCCATTTCACTAAAAAACAAATCCATAAATATTTTCTAAAACAAACTTTTTACACCCTTTAACATTATTAGACCTAACTCAAAAGATTTTGGTATTCACTCTCTCTCTTTGGGGTTAGTGCTAAATAATTTTAAATAAAAGGACCTTTTGTGAAGTAGGGTAAATACCTATTACATTGTTTTGATATCCAAAGTATAAAATTTGTTATATTTTTCTGATATCCAAAGAAGCCCCCAAATACTTCTTTTCCAGAAAGTATAAATACTAATGTCATTTTAAGTCTTGTGTGTCCAGTTAAACTGAAGAATAAGACTTGTACCGATCTATTAATACCTTCCTTTCTTTATTCTCCCTTAGTCCCGAGTTTCTTTTCCTGGGAGGCCTCACATACAAGACCTATGTAAACTCACACTTCGTAAACATATAAAACATATGAGGGAAGCTACAGAATAACTTTTTAGTTACTAAAAAAACAATGTGAATGGAAACAGTAGAAAAGAATAATGCATGAAATGTGTATCAATTTCTTCTAGCTTGACTTGATAGAAATGTGAAACAGCTTTGCATCTAAGAGACAAAATGGATACTTGTTTTCATTATTGATAGCATGGCACTCACTCCAAGTTGTTCTGAAGATAGTAGAGAACACCCAGTTCATTGAGGGTCCGAGCATTGTCAGGTGTGTCCTTGCCTAACGTAAGCTCTTCTAACTGGAGGGCCCGTCTCCGCAAAAGGGCAAATCCATACTGGAGCAAACACAAAAAATTCACAGCAATCACTAGNGTATCAATGTAAAATTTGAAGGAAAGAATTTCAAAGAAATACTATTGCTAGCACATCAGTAATTAATATTGGTAATTCATTAGGCTGCGAGATAAGGATGCAAAGAGTCCAACCTCTTTAATCTCCCAGAGCAACAAAATTAATGTCTGAATCAATAGGTACTTATGTACTTACTGATTTTTTATATAAATTATATTTGTCAGAATATCTATATGGCATACTTCACTAAACATAAGTAAATGGTAGTTGGGCTAAATCTCTGACAAAACTGAAATGATTATTTGTAGGTCTTTGAATCTCAAATGAGTGACATTCTATAGGGCAGTCCCTCTTCATGTTTAAATAAAAATATGAAAAAAGATCTAAGAGGAAATATTAACTTGTTTTATTAACTTGCCAAGACAATTACAATATAATAGTTTTGAAACACTGTACATTTTAACATATGTCAATACTGAAATAACCACTAGGATTAATGTGGGGGCATAAAAACATCTTCTTAGCCTTTCTAAGCCATTAAGAATCACTTCATTCTATTTTCTCAAAAGTTAGTAATAAAAGTAGGATGCTGGTCATTTTCCAGTGGTACTAAAATGCAAATTAAGAGGGAATTGTCAGTGGCCATATTTCACTCCAAAATGTATCAGTTTGTAAGAATATAATTAGTTTTCTTATAAATGGGAGAGCGACTGCATTTTCCCATCTCATTTCAAATAGAATCTTTTTCAGTATCAGTCACACTTTATTAATATTTTCTTGGAACATGGTAGACCCTTTCATGCTATGATTCCATCCCATACTATGATTTTATTTCTAGAAAAAACATATTTTATATGTTTAATTATAAAATAAAAACTTTTTGAGGAGTTCACAAAAGTGCACTGAAAACTACTCAATGAAATATTATGCAGACATTCTGATAGTTGTAAAGAATACATAGTTATGTGGAAAAATAATGTGACAGAGACTACTGTCTTCCAATATCCATTTTACCCGTCTTCCTTTAGTAACAGAACCGCAAACTTGAGGTGGATATATAGCTTTCCTGCTAATGATTATCACACTTTCCAATCTTCCTAGGTGTAGTTCTGGCCAATGGGATTTGAGTAGGAGTAATGTGTATAGCTTTCAGATTGTGTTTTCAAAGAAAGGAATGTATTCCTATCCCTCTTCCCCTGGCTAAAATGGATGTGATAGTGGGACCTGGACGAGCTGTCTTGGACCAGGGAGAGAAAAGTTATGGGTTAAGGTTGGCAGAGCAGCAAGACACGAGGAATCTCAGCCCCTGACAACATCATGGACATCTTGGAAAAGAGCTGTCATAACTGCTGAGAAAGAAAGTGCAACTCTATGTGTAATAGCAATCATTTAGAAGTGAAAGAATTCAAAGTGGGCTCTACAATATCATTACACCTATACTGGACGCTCAAAGTATTATAAAAAGGAAATAAACTTACCAGTAACATCTGTACAGTTGTCATCTGAATCAGACTCCCCAGGATCAAATACTTGGATCCCTTGAGCCTGTAGCCTTTGAAGTTTGCTCTCCAACTCTCGCTTGGCCCTCAATAAGTCCTGAATTTCATTTTCCTTGGTCTCCCTAAAAATCTTTGAAAGAATTTAAATTTTGAAAACTTTTCTATAATAAAAACGTTGTATCATCAACTTTTAAGGGAAAAATCTTTCATTCATAAAACCAATATTCATTTAGTTCTTGATCTCCTCTTTTGTAGGATGAATAATCTGAGTACTTCTATTTCACTGTTATATAACTGGAACCCTCTGGAATTCTGGCAGGATGAGTGTCTGTGGTGTGGGGCTGTCCTGTGAACTGCATAATGTTTAGCAAATCTGTCCCCTTTCCATTAAATGCCAGTAATGCCCTCTCATACAAAACATTCCCAAATATCTCCAAATGCCTTCCCCCTCATAGGAACACTCCATTTTTTCTATATCCTTATTAAAAAGTTCACTTTTATATCTCTTCTTAGAAATGATCTTAAGTTTACCAGGTTCAACTCAAAAATGTAAAAAGTGCTCTACTCCTTGTAACTTAGATGACTCCTACATCACTTACTTCTATTTATTCATCACAGCATTATATGAACTTCGAAAATATACTGTTTTTAGTCTGTATCAGTTTGGGGGTAAAAATGTACGGAGTACCTTGAACTGCCTTTTAACTTTATCTCTGTCATGTTCAAATGTAGCTGCTCTCTCCATTGCTTGGTATTTGGCTTCCAAAGCACTTTCCTTTTCCCGAAGTATCTTCTGGTAAGTTTTTTGAAGTGCCTGGAACAATTTACCTTGTTATTTGTAACAAAAATGGTATTCTTCCCAAATGTTACATTATTTTACATACATATCACATATCTTGGAATTTTAACAATTGACTGACTATGTTACCAGTGATCAAGAACGGCATATTTCCATTTTATTTAAACACAACAGGAAAACGCAAACATGCTTGAACTGTAATAAATGAAGACACTTCAACATTAAGCTCTCAGTGGAAATTAATACTTTTTCTTCACTGCATCAGTTCTTAATCTTCCCTACACCACACTTCTCTCATCTTCAAGCTTACAACTAAGCTTAATTTGAAAGACAATTAATTCTGGGAGACGGTGCACCCCTAGCTTCCATGTCTTACTCATCTTGTTATCCACAGGACTCCTCCAGCTAGTGTCTGACTGGCTGGATTAAATAAATACTGAAGAATTTTTTTAATGCCTAGGTATGTGAGAAAGGAACCAAAAGGATTACCTAAGGAATCAGGGTTGGTAACAGGAGGAACCTGAGGCTGGCATTTGTCAACCTTTCCTGCACTTCTGCCTGGTTGGTCCAGACTTCTTTTCTATCTCCATCTCACAGTCATTTCCTATGTGCAGTGTCTACTGGACAGTGGCTTCGATGCATTAAATCAGATATCTGAAAGGCATAAGTCCATTTTATACAGGCAAGTGCATTAAGACTGCCCAGTAGGGGAACCACTATGACAACAGATAGAACTGCTGATAAGTATGTCTTCCCAGATGACAGTGCCAATTATACAACAACTAATGGGGTTGGGGGCTGGGGAGGGGGAGATAATTGACAAGAATGCCTAGTCTAGAAGGAAAAAGGCTTATTCCTTTTAGAAAAATCACTCTGAGGTATTTATTCAGTTCCTAGTGTGATAAGCCCAGGAACACTTGGGCTGTCTAGAAGTCTCTTCCATAGTGGAAAAAAAAGAGGAAACAAACCACAACCCTCAGAGGGGCCCAAAACCAATGACACAGTCTCACAACTTTGTTCACAGAAAAGCAACCTTTTGCTTTTTTTAATGAGTTAAAATAGATCTACTTACTACAGGGACGGCAGGCAATAATTTTTATTTTATTTTATTTTTTTAGTAAATTAACCAAATGGATTAAGAGAATTTGACTACACCTCAACCACAGCAGTTAAGATGGTGAAAATAAGGGCTTTCTAGAAAAAATGACTTTAGGATCATTAAAACCCAAGAGCTATGAGAGCTACAGTACTTGGCAAAGAAACCAAGACAAGTGCCCCACCTTGGAGGTAAGTAAAATTTGAGGCGTATGGGGAGTTGCAAACTCCTAGTTAGAGTTTGATGAGTTGCTTCAACAGATGTCACCCCAATCTTGTGTGTGTATGTGTGCCCTGTGTGAACCTACTACTTCCTTGGAACCCCTGGAGATTGGCATTTGCTGTTTCTGGGCACTTTCAGGCTAATTGCTTCAAGGTGTCCGAATGAATGAATCAGAAATAGAAAAGGGGTGGCGTTAGTTAAGGAATCAGTTTAGACCCCTAGAGAATGTACCCTCAAATTAAAATGCAGAAGGGTTTCTGCTCAACTTTCAAAATTTGGTTTGCAGAGGAGACAGAATGGACGAGGCACGAGGTCAGGCATCCAGAGTCCAGCCTGGCAGTGTCGCCAAGTAGCTACGAGGCCATGGGCAGGACGCCCGGGGCCTCAGTGTCCCGGGGGTAGCGGCCGCCCCCGGTGCGCGCCCGGGCTGGGCGTTACCTGCAGCTCGGCCCGCAGCCGCTTGTTCTCCGTGTCCAGCTTGGCCTCGCGGCGGCCCATGGACAGCAACTCCTGGTTCTTGCTGACCCGGAAGATCTCGTACTCCTTCTTCAGCCGCTCGTACTCGGCCACCGCGTACTCCAGCTCCGGCACCGACGAGCCGGTGGACTTGAAGCTGGCCCCCAGCAGCCCGCCGCCGCCGGCCCCGCGGGGCAGCGACCCGGGCCCGGCCCCTGCAGCCGCCGCTCCCGTGCCCCGGCGGAACGAGCTACGCAGCAGGCGAGCCTTGGGCTTCACCTCCACCGGGATCTCACAGGCCTCTCCGCCGCCTGCCCCGTACGTGTCCTCGATTACCTCCCCGCCCGCGGGGCTCACGAGCGACGAGGCGGTCCCCATGGCGCCGACAGCCGCCCCTACCCAGGGTCCAGGACGGGGCGGGATGGAGCGAGGGGGGCGGGACCCAGTGAGCGGTACGGGGCGGGGCAAGCGGGATGGGGCGGGGCTTCAGGACGNAAAAAAAAAAATTCTATTCTGTGTCTTGGAGCAATCAATGTCACCAGTGGTCTTTGCTGGGGTACCAGTGGTTTCAGTCAAATGTCACGGAACTCAGCCACATGGGCTGTTCAATTAGTTTGCTACTTGAAAGGAGCCTACATTCCCAGGCTGGCCTAGGGTTTTACCTATAATACTTATTATTCTTGAAATACACTGAGTCAAAAAGAAAGTTCAAGATGGCATAAAACGAAAAGTAACCATATGCTATGTAATGAGAATGAACATTTCAAGACATATTTGCGACTAATTCAAAAGGCATAACATAAAAAATGATTTTCATTTTGCTAATAGATAAATAATTTGACAGTTTTAAGAAAAAGAGTGGAACTACTTATAAAACCTCAGATCTGCGATCTGGTATTGAAATTCCGAATAGGTCTTAGAGCTGCGTTGGACACCAAATTATATAAAAATAATGAGAATATTCTTTTAACTAAGAATACTATATTATATAACTGAGGTTTTGTATTCTACTCTGCAACCTGCTATAACTTTCAACACCATCCAAGATGCACAGGGAAAGACTAAAAGCTAGTGTTTCTCAGTACATCTACATTAGACTCGCACTGCTCAAGTAAACGCCTGAGAATTGAGACCAGAAACTCAGTTATTAGAACCTGATTGGCCAACCTGGCTGGGGAGCACCATGTGATTCTGATGTGAATATGTAACTTCATCAGCCCTGGTCAGTGACAGCACCAGTGCATGATGGGTGGACAGTGGAAGACACCGGCATACAAGTCTCATGCCCTGCTGACAGTAGTTCTCCCAGCACAAGATCATAGGACATGAACAGTCACTACCATTAGCCAGGATGATTGGCCAATGGCGCGCGTTACCTCTGTTGACATTTGCAAAGGGTCCTTCCACATCGATAGAGCTGTGGGCGAGCTCAGGGCCCCTGCAGGACTGCTGAAGCTGGATCATGCTCCCTATGGAAGGCTCACTTCCCAAGGCCCCGCCAGTCCAATATTCGCACTGGGTTCCAGCAGCTGTTAAAGCAAGAGATTTTATCTTGTGAAAACCAAATTACTGAATGTCCAACAGCTTATCNTCCCACATAAAGCTCATTTATAGACCCATTGTTCCCAAATTAAGACCCTTGCTATAGAAGAAGGAACACAGATTTGGTGCCAGAGGACCTTGGTTCAAATCCCAGACCTGCAACCTACTCTCTATATGCTCTTAGACAAACCTAATCCGAACCTAGGGTTCTTCATTTATAAAATATGATAATGACAACGATACCTCTCTTATAAAATAATAACGATTTAACATTTATCATGTGCCAGGTATTGTGCTAAGTACTTTACATGCATCAACTGGTTTAATCCACCCAACAACCATGTGAGGTAGATACTATTAGTTATTCTCATTTTACAGAAAAGAGTCAAAGTTTAGAGCTAAGTAACTTGACCAAAATCCATAGTCAGGAAATGGTAAAATCACAACATAAATATAAATAGTCTCAATTATAAAAGTCCTATAAAAATACAGCTGTTAGCAACAGCTACTATAATATTCTTTAAAATATTAGTTCTTATATTAATTTAAAAAAGCGCTCCAAATTATTTGAACTTGGACACAGATTCTTTGTGCATTTCAAATTCTGTTCGTTTTTGGGGTTTTTTTTTAGATATTTAAGGATGCTGAAGGAGTGCTCTGCCTATTGAATTAACTACTCTGCTTTGTTTTCTGAATGTTTGATATTTTGATTCCTCTAAGAATGGGAAGAATAGATACCTTTACTATTTTTATCAAATTTCCTAGATATACTAATCTGGTGAATTTCAGATGGTTGCATAATGAATATGTGGTTGATAAATCCTAATCTGTAACTAAAAAAGTTTGATATTCACAACGATATTTAAATCTCACATATCTTTCATATAACAAATACATGCCTAAGCACATGTCTCCACATGGATAATCAAGCCACGAGGGCAGACACTAACATAAATATTAACCTTGACTATATTTAGGTGAAAACACAATCATAATCCAGCCTTTCAGTGGAAACTGATCTTTGTTGGAACAATACTCCAAATGCTTACTTTCTCAAATCCCAACTCATGGGCTGAATTTGAAGCCTGTTGGAAAGCTTCCATTTGCTCTTGTTCATCATGTATGTCCCACAGAACATCACCAAAGTCATCTTCTTCTGGAATAGAATCTTCACTGCCCAAATCCTTAGTCTCCAGGTCTGTGTTCTCAAAGCCTAGAATGTCCTGAACACCAGGAGCAAGCACATGAGAATGAAGGGAGAATGAAGGTCTCGCAGCAGCGTGAGCACACAGGCCTACGGTGGGCTTCACCTATGAGGAGGGCAAGTCCCAAACCAGGACCCTTGTATGGTACCCAGAAAAATAAATTTATAACTATAAAAATAAGCTCTAGCATAAAGAAAAAAATAAGAATTATTAAAATAATAAAAACAAAGACCTCTCTCTTTTATTAAAAATAAAGTTACAGGGGTATTTGACTTCCATGGGCTCTGTTTTCTGAAAAATGTTACACAATATCTTTGTTTATGTCTGGCTGGTGAATAATGTTAAAGGTTATGCAAA